CATCCGGTCTGCCAGCCATTTATTTCCTTTCGGAGTACAATACTCGAATTATAGTGTGAGCAGTGAATTCACGGTTCGAGTGATATCCAGTGAATCGCCCAACATCCATCAGCAAAGCTAGAGCAGGACCCGGCTCTTCGGTTTAAGACTAATAGAACGCCAACCCCCGGCGTGTTATGCTATAGCACCTGCATTGATTAATCTATTAGGGGGTTACTATTCCATCGAGTCTCCTGTATATACGAAGTGACCTGGCCAGCTCCCCTCCGGAGGAGTAGGGAGGAATAGCCCCAAGGCGCAAGCCCCGGAAATCACAGCCCTACTATGACTAGCCCGACACTAGCAAGCCCAATGAACAGAGCTCCATCCTGGGTTCTCACCTACATTACTATCCCTAAGAACTGTCATCATGGACACTCAAGTTTCACGTACTTGAGTCTTTCATAGTCATCTAAGCCGCTAATCGCACTCTACTATAGATAGATTCCGAGTATCCCTACTCCACATCCCCCCATGACAGTGCCGCCTACTCTAACGGCCCGCCGGATCCCTCTATATCAAGCTCTCACCGCAACCGCATCCCGAGCTCACCCGGAGCAAGCAACTTCACAGACTGAGCACATTCAAAAGAGGCAACCCAAAACTACCTAAATTATGCTATAGTCCCAATTTCAAATTCTATCGGTCACCAGCGCATCCCATACCAAGGCCCCGCACCGACAAGCTCGTGGGTCGCTGGTAGCAGAAACTCTAGACTAAGAACTACGCTACCGACAGAGATGCTAGCCAAAGGCAGAACGGGGGATGTATATCGCCCCAAAGTGGACACTCTAGGGAGCGTTATGAAATCTAGGTGATTCAGGAAAAAACAGAGATTCCCGGGAGGAATCTCAACCCTGTTAGTGGTCATAGAGAAATGATAGGATACTTTCAGTGATTCTGGGAGTGACAAGAGCACGGCGGAGCATTTAGGAGTGCTGTGGACTGTTCTGGGAATGTCCCTCCTTTGTTGTCGCGGGAGTGGACGGAGAAATAGGGATATGTATAGGAGGAGAAGAGAGATATGTGCGGCGATCTATGGAAGGATATGAAGTCTCTGACTCTGTATTACATATACACCTGCCTTTACTATTAGTTTAGAGAATGAGAATACGAGCAAGATAGCGAAGTTTCTGATCATACCTTTCACACACAGCCGAAGTGCAGAGCTATTTCCGCCCAGTTTACCGCTGTGCTATTTGTTAACCACTCCACAGCCGTTCAAACCGCTCCGCGCGACAAACTCTTCCCAGAAACAGGGGCGGACCTGCATACCACTGGAGAGGGCGTATATGGGTCACAGCAAGCAGTGTTCCATCCCCCCAGGGTAATTTCCTATCACGGGGATCTAGGGGAAATACTGCCAACTTCTTGCTATCCAGAAATCGGGCGTGTTAAGAACAGACCAGAATATAGAACAAGTATTGAGCTAGGCTCGGGCTGTCAAATATTATTTGAATATTTACTCGTGATCGTCTCGAATTTTAGAGCAAAGGTCGGGCTGGAAAGAAACAATTGGCAGGGGGTTGGGAGAGGGGGTAGGAGAGATTCCAAACACTGAAAATCGAGTTAAGCACAGGTGGTGCTACGACATTATTTTCCATGCCGGCACGCGATCATTATCTAGTATATTCGGTCGAGCTTGCGCATTCAATTACGCAACAATCAACTATCATGCCGAGCCTTCGAGCGTCATGGACCAGCACCCCATGAAGGATGGTCGCAGATTTCGAACGGTTTTCCGGAGCCCGAGCCGAAAGACGAATGGCGGACCATGATGAGCTATCCCGACTCCATATCGATTGTTGGACAATACCAGGTTAAACCCAGAAAGTACTGGGTCTAAGAGACCCATGCTACCATATAGCTTACAACGGCAACCGCCTCCCGATCCCACAGACCTGGTAGCTCCCCTGTTGCCGATAAAAGCTCCGGATTCGAAAGACTTCATACGGTAGTGAACATTGTGGGCACGATATAACGGTTAACGGTTGGTATTTTCAGCCGAATGGAGAGGGTGGAATATCGATGGAGACATATGCAGATCGATGCGAAATGTACCGGATTCTATGGTTATATCGAAGGGCGTTAGATAACCACAATTATCAGAGGACCTCGGCAGTATCTTAATAGAGATAGCCATTCAGGCAGATGTACGTATCGCATCTATAAGAAATACCCCATAGTAACCAAACGAGGAAATTGAGCTGAAGAGTTGATACACCAGGGACTAAGATAAGATAAGAAACCGGCTCTCTCTGGACGAAGATAGGATGTTTGAAAATAGAAGAGCGAAGCAGGGCAGGCAAAAGAACGAAACCCTCCAATTATCTAACAAGGAAACAAAGAAAAAAAGAAGAAAAAACTCCACGAGAAAAAGAAAAGAAAGAAAGAAGAATCTTAAGCAAAAGTCGACCCTAAGATCGTCTCCCCCTTCTCCAACCCGGTCCACTCAATGCTCTTCCTCCATAGGACACCCTGCAAAGTCTCGTCCCGGCTGGCACAGCTACCATCTATCCTCTTCTTGCCAACGTAATACCCACTTTCTTTACCAAGCTCCCCCACAGTGACATCCGCGACATCGACACCTGCATCCCAAGGAGTGCGGAACCTAGTAGTAACGTATCTGAGCACGTACACTGCCGGAGCAAAGACGTAGTTCATGAACAGCTTCACGATGGTAGGGTGTTCGACAAAGCAACGGGATGCAGGCAAGCCACCGGGGTCGAGTACTGATACTGTAATGCCGGAGAGGTTTGGATCCTGAATCCTGTTAGATTTATGTCGTTCAAGAGAGATATGGAACAGGGGCATCATACCTGAGAAAGCCGCCTTCCAAGATCATACATGAACATTGTTTGGCACAGTTTCGCGGTAGCATACCTCGTGAAGCCTCTATGGAAGGTTGTTTTTGGATCTTCAGGAGCAGGCTTGACAAGTTCACCGACCTTTTCCGGGATCCCGGGACGATAAGGACTTATCAGGCTAGGCCTTTCGTCCGAGTGCTCTTCCGAGCCGATCACGACTATTCGACCGGTCCTCTCCATCGAAGCAAGGAGCCGCAGGACGAGCAGGAAATGTCCGAGATGGCAGACCTGGAATGTGGACTCGTAGCCATCCTTTGTAAACTGTATCCCGCTGTTAAGGCTCCAAGAGAAGGCGTTGCAGACGATTGCAGCAAGTGGGGGTATGGTGCCAGAAGATATTAGGGATGTGACAGTGGTGGTGAATGCTCGCACGGAGGCAAGTGAGGAAAGATCTAGAGGTTCGATATGGACAGAGGTAGAGGGGTGGCAAGAAGAGAGGCGGCGGAGGTTCTTGGTGTGTACATCAGAATCGGAGGTATTCCGGACGGCTAAAAGAAGATGGTTCTCGGGATGGCTGGTGAGGAGATTCTCAACGAGGGCTGTCGCGAGTGTGCCATTTGCGCCTGTGATGAGGACTGTCCCTTGAGTCATGCTTGCTTGAGCTTTAGAGAGATACGGACCTTTGGATATCAGGGTAATAGAGAAATTTGGGAAATCATGATAGAACGGATGCCCTTTTATCTCCAAGTTCTCAGCGCCGTCCGTCCACCTATCCGTTCATTCATTCATGCTGCGCGCGAAGAGTATTTCTCTAGGAAAAACAAAATAAAATCTATAAAAGCAAGTCCGACTCCATGAGCCCGGGGAACAGCTTGAACACGCAAAGGCTTCCGTTTCTCTAGCAGGAAAGATTCCAGAAGCAGTACCGTAATGCGTGTCTCTCCAGTGAGGGGAACACATAAGACATAAGTTCCGAACCAGCCTAAAGTCAGCCAGCACTCCCCTTTTTATTCAATGAAAGTAAAACGCGGAGAGAGAAAATGTGATGGAAAGCCGAATTCATGATTGGGGGTGCCAATAATGAGGTATCTTAACCGTGTGATCCTTGTTCGCGACCTATCCGTTTGCCCCCGTACCAAGTACTTTACGATCATGGAGTACCGGTACCGCGATAATTTCGAGACATTTGCGAAAATGGGTGGTATTGCATACAGCTAAAACCCGGCCGGAGCCTCTGGATCCCGGTGTATGCAATAGCAGTCAGGTTTTCAAACGTCACAACATTCTGAGGCACAGAACAAGGTTCCAAGGTGTCCTACCCCCTCAAATCGCCCAAAGAGTTTTTCCCGTATTCCCACCACAGGGCCTCAGATGTAGCTCTGAGTTTCGCGATTCGTCAGATCCTTTGCATGTTTTCCGCTTTTCTTTTCTTTTTTCTTTAAAAGCGGGACAAGCTCGCTACAACTCGCCATAATGGTAGGTGGGGAACCCGGGGTAAGACTCGGGAACTCTGCTCGAGGAGTCCTCGAGTGCCGAGAAACCCGAAAAACGTGTTCATGTCGTGCTACCCCATTATCTCCATTTAATTCGCAGGATCCCGCTGCCTGCGAAAGAGGTGTGTGCGTGGAGCCTATCTCATTCGTTCCTATTGTGAGAAAGGATCGCAGGGAAATCCTGCAATTGCTATTCGTGTCCTGCAAAGCATGAACTTGGGAGTGAACAATTTTTTTCGCGTGGTTTGGCGGCCCAAACGTCTAACCATAACCCTTTTTATTATTATTCTTGGTTATTCACGGTTCCCGTTTTACAGATCAACTAGTCCACCGGTACTTATAATACTGGGCATCCGGAGCCATCCAGATCCGGGGCAGCAGAGCGTGTTCGTGCGCCCTCCGTCCATAGTCACCGTCAACCTCAGCGGCACCTAGAACCTCACCCGCTCTAGCTACCGGTAACTAAACACAGTTTTCCTAGATCGACCTGAGCTAGCTACAAAACCATTACCCTCTCCCCTATCTCTAAACGTCAGTTATGAGGCACGAAGTTTCCCTAGCAATTGAGTTAATTGCAGAACTGAAAATTTCCACAACACCCCTCCCAAGGAAACCGTTACACCGACACCCAGGAACTGGGGGGGGTGAGATCCTGCGATACTGCTGACTAGGATGGGGGGAAGGAGAGTACTGGTACCGTTCATTTTGCGAATATGGCAATGGAATGCGGCGCTCTACCGCAACACGCATACTTGTGCAGCACTGTTACCACAGTGTACCGTACTGGTAAGATACAAAATACTTTGTGAATGGAAAAAATGAGAGGATCGAGGGGTGCAAGAGCAAGGTAAACAAAGCCATTCAGCGCCCGTGGAGTCTTTTTCTGGTGGGCGCTTAACTTAAGGCAGGGGAGGAAAAAAACGGAGAGAAGAACGAAAACGGTTGAGAATCGAGTGATAATTGAGGGATATACGGGACTACGGTGTGCGGGGCACTCGTGCGGAGGGCACCTCTAGGCTCTAGGCTGCCGCAGTATACTACAGTATACCTACCATACGCCTTTATTGCAGCAGGGAATCCTAAAGAAGCGGGGTTGAGTTGAGGAGGAGTAATAATGGCCTGGCATCCAGTGACAAAATTGGCCAATGGGCCGAAGGTCGGTAGTGAGCCAGGTGCTAGAGTTCCAGAAGAAATTTGGCTGGGTGGTTTTAGGTGTGCTCTAGAGGGTACGCGATTGAGTATAGTAGCGGAAAAAGACTGTACGAGGCTTGCGACAAAAGAGGGCAGAATGGCACAAACGATGCTACTTCACGCTTTCCGTTCAATGCATTCTAGGGCTACAAAAAGGTCGAGAAATTGATAATATGGTCCAAAATTCTTCCAAATATCTCCCCAGGAACCTACAGATTATTAGAGAATTGTTGACTACTTTGGTAAGCAATATCGTGAGGTTGAAGTTCAAAAAAGCGCCAAGCCCGTCCATTCCCCTTACAAAATCCTCAGGAAATGCACCAAGACCAGTGTTCCGGTACCAACTATTGCTTCCTTCACAATTCCTCAACCGGTTTAGATGGGATTCTAAAAGGTCGGAAAGTACGATCTAGGTAATTTTTTCACACATAACTTAGGTACGAATCTGGTTCCGATTGCCCCAATAGGTCAGTGGTCGCCAGGTTGTAAACATCGCTATTTTCATTGGAAAACCTTTCACCGTCCACCCTTTTACCAGCACACGGTAGTTCTGTTGCTTCTCCCCGCCTTTACCCATGCCTCCCCCCATGCAATACCGGCGCCCGAATTACCATCAGGGGGGCTCACGCCTAGAAATAAAACCGAAATTCTGGTAACATTTTAGCAGTTCAGCATGAGTGCGATGCTGTCTGTACTGCGGTTTGCCATGCGGTTTTCAAATGAACCTAGAGAGAGAGAGAAGTGTGAAGGTTAATTGATAGACTAGGTCAGATGCAGATGAGTAGTGTGAAGAAGAAACATTTCAACCTAAATTTAACGGTTGATAGAGGAGTAGCACATTCAGGAGCCTGGGTGACTGAAGCCCGATAATTAGCATACAAGCCAACATAATATTTGGTTAGCATGTCAAGCTAACTACTAGTGTGTAGCATTAGAACTGGCCTCAAAAACGATTCTCGTACCGACAAAACCCGCCTTTTTTTTCTAGTACGCAGTTTTGCTCAGTATTGGAGAGAAAACCATCGGTGATCAAATCTAGGGGTTAGAGGGGGGGGGGGGCTGAACCTGGGCTTCTGACAATAGGGGTAGAAGGAGGGGTTCTTTGCTGTCTTAATAAGCAAGAATTACAAGAATTATTTAATATACTACTCAGAGGCAGGCCCTGGGAAAGAGGAACAAGCTTAGGCTATGAAATTGATAACATGCTAGTAAATTTGTTGAAATTGTTAAAGTAAAACAATATTGATGGTTTCAACAGAGGCTTACTGGAGAGCTTCTCATGTGAAGAAGACCTTCAACTATATACTCAACTTTCTCTCCTCTCACTACAATACAAGAAGATAATACAATACTTAAAGTTCCTACTATTGGAATTGATAATGAAGATATGCTCTTATTAGAAGACTTTGAATGCAAAACATTTAACTGGCTCAAGAACATGTATTCCATCCTACCTAAAGAGCTCAATAATAATTCTATTTAGAGCTTGAAAGATCTTTTAGATTAGAGTTATTCAGATTTAGTGGTCTGCCTACCACATACTACCTGCTTTCCTCTCTTCTTGGTTGTTAAGAATCCTACCGGGTAGGACCTAGCGACAGGTAACGATACTTCTCTATAAGGTAATAGCTCTCAGGCCTGTGCCTACGCGATCCCGATAGTCCAGTCCTTTGACTACTATCATGTTCGCGCCTATCTCCTTATCCTTCTTCTTAGTCCTCACTCAGGACTTAGTTGTTTGACATGGGAGGAGAAATAGTTTTCTCGCTTGAGAGGAAAGACAATTCTCGGGTTTCTTAAGATAAGTCTTAAAGAGCGTAAAGGTAGGTTTTATTGATAATAACTTAAAGGTAGGAAATAAACAAGAAGAACGTGTGAAGAGCTCATACTCGGGGTCCTAGTGACCCTTTATATATTCGCTCTTCACCTAGCGTGACTCACCCCTTGCGTCACGCGAACCCTGTGACTCATAACCATGAGTCATATGAAATCCATCAGACGACCCCTATGAGTCGCTGTGCAACATGCCTAAACCAATCAAAACATAATAACCCAAATCAGGTGCGCAACTCGCGTCACCTGAGTGAAACCCATGACTCATAAGTATGAGTCATGTGCGAAAATCATAACATCGTGTGACTCACAACTATGAATCACGAACAGGTAAACATAATAACCTATGGCGCACTAGTGTGTGTCATGTGAAATCCCAACATACCTATAACTCGGAAATCCGAGCTATGTGAAATCTACCTTGCTTAGTCACAGTTTGTGACATTGGTCACCCTCTTCAGGGTAGTTTTCCTTACACTCTTAGCTGCTAGGTCTTTGGTCTCCTCCCCATGGGCCCTTGTCTTAGTCTAGGATTTTGTAGCAATGTGCTCTTTAGCCCTTGATTGGGTTCAGTTTAGATTTCTGTC